GATTTGCACTACCCAGAGCCCTGGGGAAGCAGGGATGCTCTCAGCCTGGCTCTCAGCAGCCCAGCTGAAAGCAACAGGCATATTTTCACCACATCTCTACCCCTGAAAATCACTGAGCCTGGCCAGAGGGCTGCGCGCTGGCAGGAGGGAGGGAAGGGATGGAGGTGAAACACACCACCACGTTGCCTGAAGCTTAGAGCTGTCCCCCGGGGTGACTCTAACTGCGCTCAAGCCCGATGGAAAAGAAGCGAGAATCTGGCTTCCAGCCCGCGTGTGATCACTTGCAAGGAGGAAACACCCTGGAAGTCCACGTGACGGTGAAAAAAGAGTAACTGGAAACGAAGGCGGTGGCGGCAGGGGGGGACTTACACGGCGTGATCCCTGAGATGGTGGAATAAACCACGTCCCGTGGGCAGGCGGCGTTCCCGGGTCTTGTCTGTTATTTCAGACCGTATCCGGAGGGAAGATAAATGCCAGGCCCACTTCTAATTAAGGAAACTGAGGAAGGGAAATGTGAGTGGCTCGTCTCGGAGGCGATCTGTCGGGAGGAAACACAGCTGAAGGCTTCTCAGCTATCCCAGGCACAGCCTCGGATACCCAGCCCGGACCGAGCCTGGTGAGGTCCCCACCTCTTGCTGCCTTGCCTGAGTTGCTCCGATCTGGGAACGAATGCCAAGTATCTGGTGGGGAACCCATGCAGGACTGGCGATGAGGGATGAACAAGATGACCTCATGGGTATTTTCCTTCCCTCTCGCACTCCTATGACTCAATCGCCCCGCTGAGCTGGAGTCGCTGCCCTGGAGAGGTTTGGTTCACGCAGCGAGACCTTGGCGAGCCGGTCAAAGTCCTTGCCTCTCTATGGGGAGATGCTCGGAGGGCACTGCAGAGAAAAGCACCCGGAGCAAAGCCATAGGGAGGGAAGGGCAACCCTGAGCAAAACAGGTGCTGGGTTCCCTGCAAAAAAACCATAACGAGGACGGTGGTGAGGGCTCCTCTGGTGTGGGGAAGCCTCCGGAGCGACGCAGGCAGGCTGAGCCCCGCTTGAGAGTTGAGTCATGGAGAAGGAAAACTTGAAGTCACCCTTCAGATTCCCCTGTGGTCTAAAGCGCCCGGGAAAGAGCCTGGCGGGGCGGCTGCAGCAGCCTGGGCTGTCTGAGGATGTCCCGATGGCCGTGCTCGCTGCCGGTCGGTGTCATCCGTGGGGCTGGGAGCCAGGACTCGCCCTGGCAGCAGGCACGGGATGCCAGGACCCTTTGCAGGATGCCAGACCCTTTGGTGGGATCCTCGCAAGACACCCGCCCTCCCCCCCAATTCTTTGCATTACAGAAGCACAATGGCGAGGTCAGGGTTAGGGGGAGGTTAGGTTAGGTTTTCTTCTGTTTTTTTGGGGCTCCTTGCTCAGCATTAGCATCACACCCTGGCACCTTCTTTTGAGCCTAAAGAAGCCAGTACGGTGCCGGCAGCGGCGCCGTTCCCTGGTGCGGTGATGGCCCTTTGAAAATGTCACTTGAAATGCCAAACTCCTTGGCCGCTTGGCTGCTTCACTCCGGCTACGGTGTGTCCCTTCCATCCTGGATGTAAAACACCCTGCTGAAAAATGCCCGCTTAAAAAAAAAAAAAACCAAGCGGAGGCCAACGTGTTCAACGCCTCCCTGGACAAGGTGGCACTGCCCTCTGCTGTCGGTGGCTATGGGGGACACCAGCCAAGGCCACGGCCGCCGAGTAGAAATTCAGCTTTTTGTGTCACCCTAGGAACTGCTGAAGGACCAGGAAAGCCACAAAGCTGTCCCGGGACGATGCTGCGCCCAGGACCGGTGCACGGTCCCCGGGCATGACAAGCAGTAAAGCCCTGGAGGAGTCAGCGCCTGCTTGGGCTTCCCTTTTCCCCCGGCCGAAAGCAGAAGTGGTGACTATTTTTGGTGCTGTCTCACTTCGGAAAGAGTTGCGCGTGCCCCAGAGCATCGGCCCGGCTCCGGCACCTTTCTCTAGGCAGAGGATAGCAGTAACGGCGAGGGTCGCGCTGCCTTTCCGTGACCCGGAGCTCTGCTTCGGGGCTGCCTGGCGTAACCGGAGTTTCCTTCCATGTGCTGAGCACGCCAGCTTCTAGGGGATGTGCATGAAGAATGGCTCTTCAGCTGTCTTTTCCAGCAGAAAAACACTCGGGCAAAGCCTCCCGATGATATACATACAACCTCGCTTGCCCTCCCCTCCACCCGCAGTCCTTTATTGCCTTTTCTCAAGCTGGAAGAGCTCAGGTGGGAGAATGAGGACACCCAACACGATGCCAGAGCTGGTGCTCCTCTTCCCAAAATCTCCTCGATGAAAGGCCTCTAGATGGGGCTTTAATGCAATATTGCTGCTGGCCTCTGCCGAGCCGCGACGGCCCGCAGAGCCCCGGGGGCTGTACACCTTCCAGCACCCCGGGGGGGGCATACGGGGCCGTGGCAGGGTGCCACCCCACCCCAACCATGGGGATAAGGGAACTGAGATATTCCCAGACCCTGCTGAATCACACGGATTTGAGGAAGCCGTTTGCTGGATTGGATGTGACCCCCCCCCCTGCGCAGCATGTTTCAGCCCTCACCCCGAGGGGTGCTGAGGCTTGTGATGGGGGGGAGCCCCCCCCAAACGGCACGCACGAACGTGTGCTTGTGGATGTGCAAAGCTTTGCACGGTGCAGGGCAGGCTGCTTCTCCACAAGTTTATTTTTGCAAAGGTTTGGTCAGGGACTGGGCTGGGACGTTTTACACGTTAAAAATTAAAGCAGCTTTCCTCCTGCTTCCCTCCCCCCCCGCCGTGCTTTTATTCTGAAAATAAGCAGAACCCAAATAATTTGCACAGTGCTGGGAAGGCTGGAAACGCCTGAGTGCACGGCCAGCGGTGAGAATAAATTCCCCGAGCTCCCAGTGTCCACCACGGTTATCCGAGGCTCTCGCCGTCTCGTCGTGCACCCAAATTGTCACCAGCTGGGCACAGCGGGGACGGTGGCTTTTGAGATGAGAGGCCAGTGCCAAGGACCTGCGTGTCCTCCTGTCTGCGTCCCCGGGGGGACACGGGGCGGTCCAGCAGCGTGACACACGCGCACACACGCTTTTTGTTACTGGGGGGCAGCAGGTGCAGAGATGACCTCGAGGGTGATGACGAGAGTGACGTCGACCGACCTGCACCAAGCACCAGGCCCAAAGAGTTGACATTTTGGGTATTAAATACTTCCCAGCTGGGGCGTTCATCGTCCTGTCCGTGCATTGGGGCCTCTGCACATCGTTCTTGCACGGGGCTGGGAGTGTGAGCACAAGAGCGTGCGATGCCCGTGTCTTTCCACGTCCAGCCTTTGCACGACTGATCAGCCCTTGCCCGTCTTGCCTCTGCACGGCTGTCTAGCCTTTAAAAGACCCGTGGCACGTCCGACCCTTTGCACAACTACCTAGTTTTTGCATGATGGATCATCATTTTACCTGCAGCCCTTGCGTGTCTAGTCATCGCACGCCTGGCCCTTGCACGGCTGCCTGGCCCTAACATGTCCGGACCTTACACACCCAGCCCTTGCACGACAGCCTGGCCTTTGCACACCCACCCTTAGCCCAGCGGCCCATCCCTGGCACGCCCAGCCCTTGCACACTCAGCCTTTTCACGACTGCTCAGCCCTTGCCCAGCTGTGGCACATCCAGCTCTTGCACATCTGGCCCGTGCACGACTGCCCGTTTGTCACGTCCCGATTTCTCAGGACGACGACTCAGGTTTGCTGAGTCCCAGGTCAGGATTAAGGTGTAACGACACCGGGGATCCTTTAACTCACAAAACCCGACTTTTATTCGCTCACAACAAGAATTGGCATGCTCGTCCCCCAAAACTGGTACGCTCACAAGAAAAATTGGCGTGAAACCGTGTCAGTAAACTGCGTAACGTGCCAACCGTGCATCACCAAACATCTACTGCAGGCCTGGCTTATCTGGGAATCAGTTCAGGGAAGACAAGAAGGAGACTCCTCCCGTTGGGTCGGGGGTTCAGAGCAGACCCCCTCGCTTTCTAGATCCCTTCTCAGAGAGGAGCCACGGGGGGGCTGGATCCGCTCTTAGTCCCGGATTTGGTCAACGGTTTATGTCTGAAGGGATGAGGGGAGGGAGAAGGGGGGAGAGAGCATCGGTCCAGCCGGCCGAGGGGTCCCGTTCCGGTGGGCTTGCACACCCGGGGGCTTCAGTTTGTGTCCTTTTAGCACCCCCGCCCCTCCTTCGGGTGGGCATTAGGCTAATTAGGTGTCATGAGGGGTTTGTGAGCCTTTGGGACTTGGGGGTCGTCTGGGGAGTGCCTTCCCCTTCCCTGCAGACAACATTTTGGGGCATGCACGGTGAGCTGTGCTGCTCAGCACATCAGAGCAGGGAGCTGGGCACCCTCCTGCACGCCCTCCCCTCCTGGTGCTGGTGGGTGCTGGTGGGCTTCTCACCTGGGGTTCCATCCTGGGCAGAGTTTGTGGATAAGCAGAACTTGCCCCACCACAATGTTCGAGACATTAACTCTTCCAGTCTCTCACACCATTCCTGGCACGTCCAGCCCTTGCACGCCCAGCCCTTGCACGCCCAACCCTTGCACATTTGCCTGAACCTTGCATGACTGCCCTGCCCTTGCACGCCCAGCCCTTGCACAATTGCCCAGCCCTTGCACACCGATCCCTGGCACATTTGCTTGAACCTCACATGACTGCCTGGCCCTTGCACGACTGCCCTGTCCTTGCACGTCCAGCCCTTGCACACCCACCCCTTGCACATTTGCCTGAACCTTGCACGACTGCCCTG